GACCCTTGAATCTGATAGTCTGCATCTCAGTGTTGAAAGAGGTGGCTGTAGAGATAACATAGAATTGTAAAATCATACAGTATAGGAGAGGCCGTTTGACCCATCAAGTCTGTACCACCAAAAATCTACAATACCTAAACTAGTCCTACTTTCCTGCACTAGGCCCATAGCCTTGAATATTATGTCACTTCCAAGTGCTCATCCAAGTACTACGTAAAGGTTATGAGGTTTCCTGTCTCAACTACCCTCCCAGGCCGTGCATTCCAGACCCCCATTACCCTCTACATGAAAAGGTATTTCCTAAAATCCCCTCTAAACCTCCTGCCTTTTACTTTAAAATTATGTCCCCTTGTTATTGTAGTTGGTGCAGTGGTAATCCTGTTCCAAAATTCCACAGATTCTGGAATGATTCCTGCAGATTAGAAGTTTACAAAAATCAACCAACCATTTAAGAAATTAGTAAGAGGAAAGAAAAAGAGAACTACAGACTTGTCAGCCGTACATAGTGGAGAAAATCCTAGAGTCAATCATAAAGACTGATAAATGGATACTTTGATTTAAAAAATAATCTGAGCATTGTCGGCATGCATTTGTGAATGGAAAATCGTATTTGCCAAATTTGTTCCAGCTTTTCAAGGATATTATGAACAAAATTTATGAAGGGGAGTCGATGGCTGTGATATATTTGGATCTTCAGAAGGCTTTTGATAAAGTCTCCCACCTCCTATCCAATGTGTTTTAATTTTATAAATGTGCTGGCATAGTTTAAGGATTGGCCTACAGACAGGAAACAGAGTAAGAATAAATGGGTCGTTCTTGAATTGCAGACTACGGGGTGACCAGCATCTAGTGGGATAGTGCAAGGATCAGTACTTTGGCCTCAGATTTTCACAATATATATCAGTGATTTGGAGGTGTAGAACAAAGATGATATTTCCACATTTGGATATGGCACAAAGCTGAGCAGGGATGTTGTAACTTGTGAGGAAGATGAAAAACATTTTCAGGAGGATTTGAACAGGCTTAGTGATTGAGCAAGAACATAAAAGACAGGGTATTTTGCAGAAAAATGTGATGTTATCCACTGTGGTAGGAAGAACAAATGTACAGAGTATTTCTTAAATAGTGAGACGTTAGAAAGTGTAGATATGCAAAGGGACTTGGGGTCTTGTCAATAATTGACTTATAATATTTTGAAATTTGGCATTCAAGTGTTTGTCTTGATGAATGCAAGATGAAAAACTTCAAATGGATTTTCAGAAATGAACAGATTCTGTATTGACGAACAACTCTTTAGAACTAGAATACAAAATCTATAATAAAAGTAATGATGAGTAAGCATATTTAGAGGAGGAATTCATGATTGGCAAGACTTAAACTATAATATGGAGGAATGGATGCATAACATCTCCAATACTTTAGCTTTTTACAATGTTTATAACAAATATGGTGCAAAAGTGCTGTGTTACCACCCATCAGGTTATTTTCTTCATTAAACTCATTTTTACCATCAAGGACCATGGGAAAGATTGAATCAGAGTTTAGAAGCCATGATTAGAGCTTATTGTCAGGAGCACTGTAAAGATTGGAAAAAAGGAACACCCTAATTGATGTTTACAATTAGAGATGTTCTTAATGGTCCGCAAGATTCAGTCCTCTTGAACTCATATATGGACATTGAGGTGAGAAAGTACATTAACTAAACTAAGGATAAATCTATGAACCAAAGTGCAGGGATTGCATTTATGGCTGATGTTTCAGAAAAATTAGCGAAAGTGAGACAGTTGGCCAAAACTTGCTTCAGCTATGCTCAACAAACAATTAAACTGGAGCAGGAGAAGGGCCAAATCTTAAAATTTTGTTGATGCAGGTAATTCAGAACCCTTATCATCAAGGTTCATTGGACATTGTCAAATCAAAACAAAACTCAATGATGGAAATTATGTAGCAAGTACTCCAGGTGAAAAAATGAGTGATTGTGTCATGTTAAAGAGTTATGACAATTATGATAGGAAAAACATACTTACAGTAACAAAATAAATGAGTAAAATAAAAAATATCAGTTTGAATGGAGAAAAAATATGAATTGAAAATTGAAAAGTTGATCCTCCACTAACCAGATTGGATATTACGCAGGTGCTTAAATTGCATACTTGCCAACAGAAATATTCAATGGTGGAGAAAGACCAGTTAAGTCTTGTGTTAACTCTACATCAATTCACAATTTACAAATCCAATAACTCGGAAGAGACTGTTTTGGAGAGATGTTGGGACCAGAACTTGGACTGTGTTGTTAATGTTTAATATTGTAGCCACGCAATTTAAAAATCATTTGTGTGACTGGCAAGAACAATGTAATAGTGGATGTTGTTGAAAGCAAATCTGAAAGAAAACAAACGAAGTGATCAAAATGCACTTGTGTATCTGGTTGTTATGGAAATTATTGTGTTTCCTATATTGTTACTGTTAACATAGAAGTAGTGCACAAATAACTACTTGATAGAAAATAAATACATTTCTTCAGATCTTTTCTCTCTCTTTTTGGTGGGGAGGTGTGATGAAAGTTGTATACCTGTCATTTTTTGGAAGTTGGATTTTAAAATGGAGGCAAAGAGGTTTTAATCAGATCTGTGGAGTTTTTCTTAACATATAAGAATGTCATTCTGGAACAGTGACCCAAATGCATAATTTGCTTATGAAGGCTTGTGACTTGAGCTACCTGAATCTTTAGCACTGATGGCTGTTCAGGCTGGGTCATTAAGTACATTCGAGGCTGGGGTAGACAGATTCTTAATCAGTAAGGGAATAAAGGTTACAGGGAGAAGGCAGGAAAGTGGAGTTCAGGATTATCAGATCAGCCAGGATCTCATTGAATGGCGGACCAAACTCCTACCTACCTGCCTACCTGATCCGTATAGTGTTAATGGATAGGATGTTTATACTATGGGGTTTGTTGGCCCAGTTGGCTGGTTTGTAATGAATAATAGCATGGGTTTAATTTCCACACCGTCTAAGGAAGAACTGTCCTTCTACATCCCTTCCCCTCAACTGATGCATTGTTACCCTCAGGTTAAGTCACAGCAGTCATCTCTCTAATGAGAGAGTAGCTCTGAGGTCCAGTAGGAATATGACGTTGCCTTTTTAAGCTAATACAAAACCACGAACTGAGGGTGCTGGAGGTACGAAGAATTGTAGTACTTGTTTCCTAAATTCTGCATTCTTCTCACAGATGCTGCCAGACCTGCTGGGTTTCTCCAGGAATTTCTGTTTTTACCTTTTTTTATACACGTGGGTTATGATGGGCAGAATAAATGCAGTAAAGCTTTATTCAAAGCAATAAAGTTTTGTTTCTACTTCAGAGCAGAAGAATCACAGTTTTCAGTTCAGTTCAGAAGACCTCCTGAGTTCATTTGAAAAGGGAGCTTTTATCCTAAAAGGAGAACAGATGTCCAGTTCAGCAAACTTTTTAATAACTGGCCACTATAGGACCAAGAGTGTGACTGTTAGTCAAACAGTCTGGTTTTTCAAGAGGTCGACATAATCACGTAAAAACACACACTAATTAATAGTGCAGGGGGTGTACACAACACTTATACTTTATTTACAGCATAAGTCATTTAAATAATATTGTAGCTTTGCCTTAAATAAAACTTACGAGCCTATCCTTCTCACGCATCTCAACTGACTACTTGGAGATTGCAGTAATACTTTAAACATTTGGAATTTCAGGTATATTATTTTATCAAGGGAACCGGTTAAACCAGGTTTGCTGTTTATGGTCTATCAAGTCAGGTTTTAATCCAGGACCTGACTTGTCCAGTATTGCCATCAGCTGGCTGTGATCGTAACATTTGATGGCCAGTGTCATTTTCTTATAAACATGTATTCTGCTAAAACATGTTATAAAATGGTGAAACTCTTTGATTTTTGCTTAAAAGACAAAATTGTACATGAACAAAATTCGCATTTGATCTATCTATTGTACTTGAGTAATCAAAAGCTATGTTTTCTTTATAGACAAGCACAAATGAGGATTGCTACCTTCAGCCTTTTCTGTGAAATCAACTGAAATAGGATCAATTACAACTATTCTATCTTGCAGCCACCATGAGTACACTTGCACCACTGCCACTGTTAAATTGATAGAGCATTACTTACACCTAATTTCATTGGTATCTACCAGTAAACGAAACAAATCTTAATTATAAATCCATGTCTCAACCAGAAATGTAACCTGCTGTTGTAGCCTGCTTGTGTTCTTGGTTTGCACGCTTTTTCTTTCTTCCCCTATTTTCCAATTTAATATGTATGTCATTTGTAAAAACAAAAAGACAGTGCTATCTAATTGTAAAAACTTTATCTATTCCTAGGAATCATTTTAGAATGTTTCTCTCAAAGGAAGGTAGCACTTCAGTAATAATTGTTCTTCTCTGTGGTCATAAATAGAATGGGAAGACCGAGTGTAATCACAGAGTTGGGGCACCATCAAATTTAAATTTCATTAGTTTATTTTCTAAATGCAGGCATGATTTCTGAACAGTAATGGAGGCATGCACAGAATTTAGTCACAGTGTACTGAGTGCTTATAAGCCATTTTCAATAACATAGAAATCAAACACCTGGCAAATAATGGTGCCCGGGTTTAAATTTGATTTAGTTTTATTGGGCACCAGCTGCAAAGTGCACACATTCTATATGATAATTCAGAATGTTATTATTTGTGCCTCCTGCCAATAACTTTAATTTCACAGAAAAAAGACATGATGTAAGTACACCAATGTGTCTGTGACCTGAAATTTGCTCCTTTATGCACATCGTGAAAGAAGTCACATGCTGTAGAATTAGTAATTTCCTTTTGGCCTCAGCATTATCATAAATTCCTGTGAGTTGTTCTGTGTTTTCCTGTTCACTTTAAATGTCAACAAATAGGTCAGACCACAATATTCGGTTTAAGGTAGTAGTAATATTTATTTACTTTAGGGTAAATAGCCAAAGGCAGAGAAACATAGCAAATGATGTTAAACTGTTCCAGACTCAACATCAAAATTCTAGGTTTTGTGTCTTTTTAAACGGAAGTTGATATATCTTTAAGAGATCCCCCATGAAGAATGAAAGCTGATCTTATTGAAACAGATGTTTTGTTTTACATAGAATAAAAATAAGGGACATAACTTTTAAGACAAATGGAGAGAAATGTTTTCTCGCAGATACCATTAGACATAGGAACAGAAATAGGCCATTCAGTCTGTCAAACCATCTCCGCTATTCAAAGAGATCATATTGATTTGATAATCTTGAATTCCATTCTCCAGCCTTATCCCCACAATCCTTGATTCCCTTATTGATTAAAAATCTGTCCATCTCAGCCTTGAATATGCTTAACAAACTAGCTTTGACAGCCTGTGTGGGTAAGACTTCCATAGATTCACTACTCTTTCAGAAAAATTTCTTCTTGTCTCTAAAGACGGTCATTATCATATGGAATCATCTTTTCTCAAGTGTAGTTAAATTTATTTGAGGATGAGTTAGACAGTTTTAACAAAGGTTAAATTATTTGTATTATTCATGTGAATGTGAACATTAGCCTTTCAGCTACCTGATAGCAGTAGTGACAAGGGAATAAATTTTTAATGTAAAAAGATGAGATCTGGAATGCAGTTTCTGAAAGGGTGATGGAAGCATATCCAATTTTGACTTTCAAGAAGGAATAACATAAGTGTTTGAAAGGGGAAAAACTGTGGGGCTTTGAGAACACTTGCATTATTCCACCAAAGAGAAAATGAGCTAAATTGTCTTGTTACCTCTGCCACGGAATGTGAAGTGGAGGTAATGTCTTTGTCTTGAAAATCTATCTGACTACTCAATACATCTCAAAAGTTTCAGTGGAATTTGGTACACAGATGGGATGTGATCCAAGCTAAAACTGATTAATTTTTGACAAATATTTCCTTTAGGAATCAGTTAACTTTGCGACATGGGATACCTTGACTACTTTTGTGGGGGATAGTAGGAACTTTTTTCTGAAAAAGGGTCCAGACCCGAAACGTCAGCTTTCCTGCTCCTCTGATGCTGCCTGGCCTGCTGTGTTCATCCAGCTCTACACTTTGACTACTTTTGTGCATTGTTTTGTTTAGAATGGTGATTGTTTTAGATTATTCCAACTGCTGTGGTGGAATCTGCATTTTTGTCTCGTCCATTCCAAGGATGCCTCTGAAATTATTAGCATTTTTAAGCCATGTAATAAGCTCAACATCATCAGAAAGCACAGGAAATAAGATCTGGTTTTGTAGGAGCTGGTACAAGGGCTTTCTAAGTTAAGGAAAACTCTGGAGCAGTTCATTCAGTGCCTTTCCACAGGTTGAACACACCACAAACGATTCAAAGATTTGAACCATAGTGTTAGATTTTTATTTGTAGCATGTGTTGTGCCTGTTCAAAATTAACTTGCAATATTTTACTATTGCACTATAAAGTTGTACTTATATTTGTATATGCTGTGGAATTATGGATCATAAATACTGATTTTCTTTTCTTTTACATAGCATCAGTAAAGAGAGTATAGTGGACGTGGAAGGTATAGTGAGGAAGGTGGAACAAAAGATAGAGAGTTGTTCCCAGCAAGATGTTGAGCTCCACGTCGAGAGAGTAAGTCTGTGCGTTTAAGTTGGAAAATAACCTAAAAGAGTAAAATAAATAAGCATTTGTGGAGAATCCCATTTCAAATTATAATTATATCTTTCACTTTGAGCTATGCATTAAGAAGATAATTTTGTAAGTTAGTAACCTGAAACCTTGAATTACCACATTACATTTCTGTGTTCTTATGTTTTATACACGAGGTTTTAACCCAAGTTAAACCCAATGGTATCTTTTGACTAGCATACTTTACATGAAGCCAATGTTCCCAGTTTAATTTTGTGCTTTCTTTTAAATCCAAGCAGGGTTCAATACTAAGTAATTTGAATTCAGTAATATTCAATTAGAGGCCAATATACCTATTTACTATGCAAATTCAGTTTCAGTTGCATTTGAGGAAACGTTTTTAGATGGAAACAGTGTCCTTTAAGATATTTCTGTACTTTTTGTTGTTTTGTTGTTACTATCTTACTATTTATGCCATCATTTTGTTTTCAGATCTATGTTATCAGCGCAGCTGAACCACGCCTGCCCTTGCAGCTCGAGGATGCAATGCGTCCTGAGGCAAATGATGAGGTAAATAATATTATCCAAATATCATTGAGCATTCCAGTGCTATATTTTACTTCCGTTTGCACACCCTGACTTTTGTGTAATTGTCCAAGCTTAATTTTCTTTATTCTTTGCCTTGTTTGAATGCTGCCAGGTTAAAACCTCCCAAATGATTTCTATATGCAATTGGTTGTCACTTCCAAATATATTTGAACTCATTTAACCTCTACGCAGGGTGGATTTGGTTAAATAAATGTAATAAATCACCTATACAAATGAACCTCTAATAAATAGATGTAAAAGTGTCGCTGATGTCAAATTATGGAAGGACGTTTTGGCATTACTTTCACTTGACAGACAAGATGACTGTTTACCATCTTAATTTTCAAGTGTATTTCTATTTAATTCCATTTATACCCATGATCAGTCAATTGGTCATTGATGTCACAAGAGTTTCGTGACACTATTAATCATGAGTCAGGTTCTTCCTGTGAATAAATTTACAGTCTCAGATTTGACTTCCACTTGGCCTTTCCCTTACTGGAACTGATTCTGTCGAGTTGTGAGGAAAACCTGAAATTGTGCCAAGTTATTAGCTCAACATCGTATTGCAGTTGTAGCTTTGTAAATTCATATCTCAAAGCATATCCTTTTGCTTAGTAGACTAACAATTAGTAAATTCATTATAGGTAATCTGGAGAAGTGCAGTGAAATTCATTTGCATTATGGTTTGGTATCTGCAGCGTTACTGCTTTGGATGTAACACTGAATGGACAGAAATAATTTGGCCATAATTTGTGTTTGAATTAAGAATGTTAAAAATTACAGACATGTCTTGGTGAAACCTTAGTTGAACACCAAACTGCTTTTACTTCAGAAATCAAAGAACACCAGGTTTTAGTCCAACAGATTTATTTGAAAACACAAGCTTTCAGAGTCTTACTCCTTGAGGTGTTAGTGAGAAAGGTAAAACCTTTAGTCCTCTCAGGACAGTGACTTCAAAGGAATTTGGGGACTTGTATATACATATTAATCAATTGAAACCTTCTGTTTAAAGATTTAACAACATCTTAGGTCTGTTCAGTACATCCTCATCAGTGGTGTGACGCTTTGATCTTTTACTTGTAAATTCTGTGTCTGATAGTACCTCGTCACTAACACCTGAAGGAGGAGTAAGACTCTGAAAGCTTGTGTTTTCAAATAAACCTGATGGACTATAACCTGGTGTCGTTTAATTTCTGACCTTGTCCATCCTAGTCCAACACTGGCATCTCCACATCATGCTTTTACATGGATAATCCTTTTCTCTTCTGAACAGTCAGTGACACAGGCTAGTTTTTATTTTATAATTCCATTGTCCTTAAAGTATCTTGCAATTATTTCTGCATATACGAAAGTCTTGATGCGTTTTGTGCCCTTTTACGAATAATGGCTACATTTCTAATAATAGCCATCTAAGAATCGTCCATAGCATTAGCAATGTTCACTCCAAGTAAAATTTGATCTTGTTGCAAACAACCTGACAGGAGAAGCATTCCATCCTCTTTTCTTCCCATTTGCAGGAGATGCAACATGTCACATGTGGTACAGGTCCTGAGATAGGATTGATTGAGGTCCGTTAGTAGACGAGTGGAATAGTGGAGCTGCATATATTCTGAACCTAGTAGATAGCAATACAAAAGCAGGACTAAATTAGGAATTTAATTAGGTATCTTGTGATGAAAATGATCTTGATTTTCTCCATACCCTTCAACTTTTGTAGCATGGAATCTCAACCTGATCATATCAGCTGAATGTGTATCAGATTCCAACTCTACCTAAAATGTCAAAACTTCTTGTGGCAGCTCTGTAAAAATGTAAACTATAATTTCTCCTTAATGGATCAGAGATCCAATAATAGAAGAAAGTACTTACCACAGTATATTTCACAAACCCTTGTTTTTTTTTCTGTAATATAATTTATATTTTATGAATAACATGTAAAGATATCGAATTGAATGAACATTACAGCAAGTAGTTTTTTTTCTATTGTTTGTGTAGTCATTGAAGCATTGATTATTTGAGCTGTAGGTATTATTGAGCTCGAGTCTATGAAAGTAACTACATGTGAGACAGGGGAATTGTCGGAAACCCACAAACTAGCTCCTTTAGAAGCATTACTAAAAAATGCATGTCTGCCAACAGCTATGAATTGCTTAATCTAATACTAAATTTGTCAGCCACATCCAATAAGTTATGTAATGCAAGAATCACATTTGAAGGTTGCACCCTGGCGATTTAACTTTTTTTTCTTATCTAGATTAACAGTTATTATACTAACTGTGGTTTTCTAATAGCAGATGCTTATAAAGCATATTAAAATATGTAGAAATCCACAATTGGAACAACATAAATTTCACCACTAAATTTTTGCTCTGTGCAAAGTCATGATAGTCTATGACCATTATTCCTGATCTAATGAAATGTTGGTTTTGATTTTGTGAAATTTCTGTTGACATTTAAAGTGACAGTTGCAACAGTACACTAATGTAATGATGCTTTACATTGAGAACTTGATGGATGAAAATCAATTGAAGATTCAACTGAAATATATAAATGCAAAAATATTTTGACTAGCAATGCCTAAATTGCAAATTTAATAAATAATGAATTAAGTACCGCTAATCAAAGCGATTTAAAATAACCCAAAAATTATGAATTGATGAAGGAATCAATTATTGCTAATCAAAATACAATAATTAAAAATTGATTTGTTTTTATTTGCAATTTTTTGAATTTTTAATGGTATTTTAACTATTTCACAGCATAGAATATTTCAGTGTTATTATCTCAAAATAAGCAAAATTACTGTCCATAAGTAAGTAAATTATGGTATATGTTAAGACTTTGGTCTACTATCTATGTCGGCTAAGTGACATGACAATTTACAGATGTCAAAAATAAAATCCTTTGGGACAACATGTCTAATAGTGCAGGTGTTTAAAGGGGGAAACGTGATCAAACTGTTAGCAGATGGTTACAGTCTCTGAGGTCAACAATAAAAAAGAAGTTAAAAATAGTATATAATTGCACTTTATGTTGGAGTTGTACATTTTTTAAAACGTATCAGTGTATTGCGTTTTTGGAGTGGTAACTGCATCCTCCACATATGGTTCCTCGTCTATAATTGTTAATGTTTTAATGCACCTCCAGATAACCATTTGGGTTTGTTGATCGTAACATGGTTGATAACTTAACCTTTTAATGACTCGTCATTAAAATGAATATCATTAGAAAGCTTAGGTCAGTATCTTCCAGTGTAATTTGACAAATTATCACCAGCCAGTTTTTCACACTTTTTTTTGTATTAGTTAGTTTGTTGAGTTAGAACATGCACTGGGATTGGGGGGAGGGGCAAGGGAAATAAAGACATGCTCTGCAATCTTTAATTTTAGGTCAGAATATATCCAATGAGCGAATAAGTTACAAGTACAAATATTTGCAATAAGGATGCAATGACTATAATTATTTAACCTCTCATTCATATTCTTATTATACTTTTCCTACCTAGGAAGGAAGGGCTACTGTCAACCAAGATACAAGACTTGATAATCGAATAATTGACCTAAGGGTAAGATAAATAATGTATGACATTCTGACAGTGGGTCATTGGTTGATCTGCAGTGTTAACTCCTTCTCCCTCCAGACCTCCTAATTACATCTGTCATTTTCTCTTCCATCAGATTTCCAGCACCATGGATGGTAAACCATATAGTATATAATATTTAGCATATAGCATTATAATATATAGCATTAACATCCTTTGTGGTACCCAGCAGCAGTAATCATAGATATTCTTCACTAATATGTTTAATGTTGAATTGCCTAATTTACCTATGTTAAAGTTTCTTCCTTATCGCCATCGTGAACTTCATTCTGCGACAAAATTTTCATAACCAAGTTGAGCTCTTCTCACTTCTGCCACAAAATGTCCAAAGTTAACAATTTTCAATGACGAAAATTGTTCCCAATTTTTCATGCATGTGCATTTGGTTGTTTTAGGTTGACTGAAGTGACTCACTTCGTGCCTAATTTACCTAGTCAGTTCTCAAACCATCTAAAGTGCTTAACTGGTATCTAGTGTCCTATTACGTGGATACTTAACTCAATAGTATGCTTCTATATAAATATTCCCAAATTAGCAGACCAGTGTCATGGAAAAATAACTTGTTATTAGACCTTGTACCATGGTATTTGTACCTTTTAGATTTGTATATTTAACGGCAACTATATTGCACTTGAGCTTGTTATGTAGATTTCAAGTGATTACTGTCTGGAATCTAATTCCTGTTTGTTTAATATTCCTGAATTTCTGTATAGGATCCATGGAATCGATACATGGACAAGCTTGTTAATGCAGTTATGTTCTTCCCAGACATTAAATGTGTACAATTTATATAAGTCTTGAATATTTACTATGCAGTGATGAGATCTAGTACAGAAACATCTGTAGGTCAGTAACTTGAAATTGTTCAGTCAAAACCGCTCCTTTAAAACATAATCGAAATCAAACAGATTTAATCATTTTCTAGAATCAATTCTCAGTGTAGACACCCTAATTACATTTGAACATTTGGCTTGAACTATCATTGAAAACGAGTAAGAAATATGTTTCACTTCTGTTAGTGAATTTCCCTCTAGTAAATTGAGCCTATGTATTCCATTACTAGGACTTGAGAGTGCAATTAGATCTACTTCAGTGTAGATGTGTAGGTTTGCAGCATTATCTTCAGATAAGGTGTTAAACAAACATTTCCAAAATGAAAAGACATTGAGTACTTCTTCATCTCATTGTATGTGGGAAGTAATTGGTGCATAAAATTTGCTTGCGGTGCAACTGCATCAATCCAAGAAATAAGTAATTGTGTGAAGAAGATTGAGGTAGTTTTGACAGACCATATAAGTGTTATCTATTTTTTCTTATTTAAAATATGGTTTGCCTTTCATTTGTGTGTGCCATGTTCAGTATTTCCCATTTCATTATCTAAAGTGAATGGAGAAAACAATACTTTTGGCTTGAAACACAAACATGTTTGGTTACTGACAAAATTATTTGTTTAAACTTATCTATTTGTATGTGAACTGAGTTATTCTGAGATTTTCTGGTATTGATTTTCTGCTATATGGAGAGGCTGAATAGGCTGGGGCTATTTTCCCTGGAGCATCGGAGGCTGAAGGGTGACCTTCTAGAGGTTTATAAAACAATGAGGGGGGTGGATAGGGTGAATAGGCAAGGTCTTTTCCCCAGGATGGGGGGAATCCAAGACTAGAGGGCATAGGTTTAAGATGAGAGGGGAAAGATATAAAAGGGACCTCAGGGGCAACTTTTTCATGCAGAGGGTGGTCCCTGTACGGAATGAGCTGCCAGAGGAAGTGTTGGAGGCTGATACGATTACAACATTTAAAAGGCATCTGGATGGGTATACAAATAAGAAGGGTTAGAGGGATATAGGCCAAATGCTTGCAAATGGGATTAGATTTATATAGGATATTTGGTCAACATGGACAATTTGGACTGAAGGTTCTGTTTCCGTGCTGTATATCTCTATGACTCTATGGTCAACAATATTTCGAATGAATAATATTGTGACATTTGTTATGCAGTGAATTCTTTGCAAATGAACTCTCCCAAAAATTGGATTCTTTGTGCAAGTTCCAAAAATCCCAGGTTAGCGCAGATACAAATGGTCCAATAAAGCCATGACGTTTGTAAGTTATGTGCAAACAAGCAGCCAGTTCACTCAGTCTGTTAATGACTTAGTTTTATGTCACTTATGACACTTTTAAGTGCAAGGCAGCCACAGCTGAGGAAAAACAATTTTGTGTAACAGAGTTCTTTATCCAGCATGCACAGCAGCAGCCATGCCTCCGGGAATGAATGTTTGCATTAGTATTACAAGAAGGCCAAAAGCTCCCAAAAAGGTTTATGGCGACTGGAATCAAGAATCCTGAAATTGTGGATACGGACAGTGAGTTGACCTGATCTCGTTGAGGCAGATGTCGAAAAGGGCCCCAGTGGATGAGATGGAAAGCAAGAAAGAACATGCATTTATATAATAACTTTCACAACTTTTGGATGTCACAAGGCATCTTACAGCTGATTAATTTTCATTGAAATGTTGTCATGTAGGAAAGCATAGCAATCAATTGGTAGACAAGATCGCAGAAACAACAATGAAATAATGACCAGATCATCTGTTTTAGAGATGCAAATTGATGAATATAAATATTGGCACAATTGCTGGCAGAACTCTCATTTCCTTCAAACAGTGCCATGGTTTTCCCCTCCCCTCAGCCTCTCTGTTGCCCCTGTCCAAATGCTCATTTGTGACCTCAGGGATTCTTGCAACTTTTTATACTGGCAGTCGTTGCATGGAGTCACAAAGAAATCTTTTCATTTACAAGGGTCCTACTCTACCTTTATAAAACAAATCGAATAGCATTTATAGTGTTATGATCTGATATGTGTTGTTTAATGGGAGGAAGGAGTTTCTAAATAGGACAGTGGAGGATACTGGCCCCTGTAACATATCTAGAATCTCTGGCCCTACAACAGCCACCTTTCCCAGTACAACCTGTCACTGTTGTAAATATTAGGATCATGACACCCTTTTATCAATG